ATAACTGAAACTAATCAAAACTAAACTGAAACTAAGGATTTTCAAAAAATAAAAACTAAACTAAACTAGCAAACAATTGGTAAAAACTAATTAAAACTGATATAAAATTGAAAATCTGAAGTCAAAACTAAATAAAAATAAAAACTAATGAAAATTGCAAAACTATTAAAACCCTGGGTAGCAGTCTTTTTGAAATGAGAGAGTTACTCAGACGACCCAGTTTTTATTTTTTCTTGTTTCCCCAGGTTGAGATGGAGCTCAGTTTCACATCTGGTTAGAAATTATTCCTTTAAAATCTGTGGCGGAAATCGTGGTTTACAGGCACAGGAACTGTTATTACTATCGCTCCCCGAGGTCAAACTTTAATTAGGCTGAAACCTTTCATGTACTCGGCAGCTTCTTAATTGAAGTCTTTGCCGAATGATTTAAGGCTGAAAGCTCTGTAGAGTTTGATAGTGGAGGATCTAAGGAGCCATTTTAGTTTTGTTTAGTCAAGATTTAAACAGGTTTGGCCTGAGACTCGTCTCCCTGCCTGCTGAAGCACTTAATGTAGAATATTACTTTCTCTTTTATGTGATCTTGGAGGCATTTTGACGATATAAACTGCCTCCAGAAACACATCCTTGATCACGAATGAAAGAAAGCACAGATTAAATTTCCTAATTTTCTTAGGAATGGGGACTCTCCCCCGGACCACAAGCCATTGCAACACGCTGCCGTACCAAAGAAGCAGCTATGGGCTGAGCTCTGCAGCTGTATACGTCGACTCCTTCAGGGTTCCCGGCGAGCCCGTCTACTCACACAGGCACTCTGGACTGGTGGACCAGGTGGTCACCCGAACCCCGTCCATCGAGAGCATCCATAAGGACCCCAGGTACTCAAAGTCTCCAACCACCAGTTCTTCTCAGTATAATACAGTTTAATTAGCACGTATACTGGTGTAATAATGTGAGAGAGCTTGCCACAGTCTTTATTTTGGGGGGGTTTAGGCTGTCTCTGTGTTGTCTGCAGGCCTCTGTTGGGGCCTCGCCATCTGCTGCAGGACTTCTTTTTCATCTCTTGGCCGTAGATTTTTTGTTTTTGGATTCTGGCTGTTTGAGCTCGCTGAATTAATTTGGCCCCGTTTTTGCTGATGATGAGCAATATAAACACACAAATCACTCAAACTTTTACACAGTGATGTAGGTGGTCACAGAGTGGGTATGCATGGTACACATTCTCAATTTATTCAAATTCTGTTACTTGACAAAGAGAGTGTTTATTTTTACAAAATTGCTAAAACCCATAGTAGATGCTTGCAATATACGTGGGAATGTCTTCAGCACCATCTAATGCTCCGCTCAGTCGTCCTAGTTTGTTTGCTGATTTGCCTGTTAAATATCAGGCAGTCAAAAGGATAAATCCTCTGAAAATAGAATAGAATAGTCTAAAGTACGACCAGCAGCTAAACATTAAAAAAAATGTCAGAAGTGTTATAATGAATCCAAGATGCTACAAAACAGCACAAATAAACCAAAAATGGCTGAGCGTAGAAGGTGAGCCACCCTTATGGAGACTTTTCTCTCTGTTTCCCATCAGGGAGTTTGCTTGGCGTGACCCTGAGCTGCCCGAAGTCATCCACATGCTGCAGCATCACTTCCCCTCTGTCCAAGCCAACGCCGCCGCCTACCTGCAGCACCTGTGCTATGGAGACAACAGGGTCAAGGTGGAGGTAAGGTGATGATACATGCTGGGTCAGTCTGTCTGAGTAAAAATAACCAGACAAACGTCACAGATATGACTCAGTCGCTGCTGCCGTGTCTAAAGGTTTCAAAAACAGCTGTGCTGAGACCTAATTAATTTTGATCCTGTCCAAAAAACATCAGGAAGAACCCATCAAGAGTTCCAGTCGGGGACAGGACAAGCTATTTAAACAGGATTAAAGGGATTTCATTGTATACGGTGCAGAAAGAATTATATCTTAATCCGTTGAAATACTAGCAAGTCTAATCACCAGTTAATTTTAAAACATCAATTTAATAGAGTAAAAGCTGGTTCCAGTTTGCAAACATGAACACTGGTGCTTTTCTCTGCACAAATCAGTGATCCACACCTTTTATGCTGCACATCGACATTATTAAAGTTAGCAAAACAGAACACTCTAAAACTAAAAGAAGTAAAATAAAACTAAGTGTTCGTCAGAAGTGCCAGCAGAATGAGCATGTTTAGTAAGACTGACATTCCTATATGACAGTGATAGGCAGCTGTCTCAAAAAGTGTTTGGATTATCCACAGTGCAATTTTTGAGTGGAGGGTTAGAGGAGATGCATCTACAGGACAAACAGTCAAATCAGAAACTGACTTTCAGCAGTCTTCATCCCTTGACAGCAGAGGTGACACTGTTGTTGGGCGGGAGAGGGGGGATGGGGATGGGAGGGGGGGATCAGGCAACATCTGTTCAAAATCCCACAGTTATGAAGTGCACAGTTTGCTTTCTTTGCAAGTAATGGTGCAGCTGCTGTGACGGGCTGATAGAGAGGAACAGACACTCTCTTGAGTGGAAGAGTGAAAGGATCCTGCCTAACCTGACGGCCCTTCTCTGCATCATTCAGTTAGAACTTCTGCTTCACTGCTGTAAAATATGTTAGTCGTGTCATTATCACATATTTATAAACTTGTTTATTTATTCATTTTTTCACTAGTTTTGCATTTACCAGCATCAGGGTCACTATTGGTACTGTAGCACGAGGAGATGCCTGTACCCTACAGAGGCTGCACAGGTAGGCCGACTTCCTGGTGGAGTCATGGCATTGCCAGGTTTGCTGTGTCTTCCAGCATAGTCTAAAGAGCATGGAGGAGACAGGCAGTTACTCCATGAGATGGGACAGGGCTGTATAATGCCCTTAATCCATCAGCTGGACCAGCATCTGCTCCCTTGTGCAAGGAGGAACAGGATGAGCACTGCCAGAGATACAAAAAGACCTGCAGCAGGCCGCTGGTGAGTATGTCTCTGACCAAACAATCAGAAACAGACT